AATTACATAAGCTGCTACCATTTAATTTATTTGGGTGTAAGGGGCTGTTACAAACGCCACAGCACATGTTACAGCACCACGTGGTGCACAGAGTTAGGGCAATGTCTCCTGTTTCTGCTTCTGCATCTGGCTGTCCCTGGAGATTCAGGAAGATTCTCCCGTCTCCACTTTCATGTCAGCTTAGGTGTACGCCATTGCACCTGTTTTTTTGTGGGGGCTTATGGAACTCAGGTGGTATGGCCTTTACCCACTGAGCCATCCTTCTGGCCCCAAAAGCTACTTATATTGTCAACATTGTACTCAAAATACTGAAACAAATTAATAAATGGAGCAACACTCTTCCTTTAGTAAATTTCACTCTCCATTCCAAATCTATCCATCTGGAGCTGGGACTGCGGGGGAGAGGGGGGGAGGTAAAGCTGGGGAGTGGCTCACACCTGCAACCCCAACCCCCAGGAACTCAGGCAGGAGCATTGTCAAGATTCCCATGACGGCCTGGGCTATATAGCGAGTAACAGGCCATCCTATATCACAATGTGAGACTGTGTCTCAATAATAGTGAAATAAATAAATTGAAAAGGAGGTTGGGAGGGGACATATTAGGAGATCTAAGGGCAATTAGGAGAGTTGATGAAGATGTATAACCAAAAATCATTGCATATGCAAACAAGATATTTTCAAAGAATAAATTTAAAAGTCTTTTTTAAAAGGTTAAAAAAAAAAGCAATGACATCATTCCAAGCAAAATAGTTGTGGCTTTTCCATTTGTAACAAAACCACTTTACTGGCCTTAAATAGAAGATTCACCAAAATTACAGTGCAAAGTTTAAACTGCAGTTATAAGCTTGAGTGTAAAAACAGGTTTTAAGGGTTTTGGAAAGCTGAAGTAAGCTAAGTGTGGTGGCACACACCTGTAATCCCAGCAGTTAGGAGGCAGGAGGAACAGAAGTTCAAGGTCAGCCCAGCTATAAACTAGCTGAAGGTCAGTATGAACTATGAGGCCTTGTGTCAAAAAGAAACTGAGGTGAAGGCTAAGGGGGTACAGCTCAGCAGCAGAGTCCTTGCCCAGGAAAGGCTTGATCCTCAGAACTGGAGAGTGGAGCACAAAATGTGCTGCTACATCCAGCAATGACAGAACTTTATACCAAACCCATATCTGAATATAAATCTTAATGAAGCCGTGTATATATATATACACGGCTTTGAAAAACTAATTTTGCAGAATACAGTTCAATCTTATAAACCATTATTAAATTTAAAAGTCAAGTATATTAAACCCACATTTATTATTATTATTATTATTATTATTATTATTATTATTATTATTATT